AAGTGAGTTTTTCCTTAAAACAAGCTAAATAATCTGCCAATAGGGTAGGCAAAATAATCTTATGTCAAAAGAAAAAATAAGATTATTTTGCTTACCCCATTGGCAGATTATTTAGCTTGTTTTAAGGAAAAACTCACTTATTATTGGCATATTATTTCTCAAAACGAGAAAATATGTTTTGCTTGTCTAGAAAATGCCTCCTGATATAATACATTTTAGATATTTAGACTGGAAACAAGACAAAAAATCTAAGCAAGAAAAGCATTTTTTGCAGTGCAGCTCTATAACTATATTTCTTAATGTATAGCAGATCTTGCGTTTCATTAAAATGACTAAAAATAGTCACAATAATAGTACAAGACTAGGTCTATATGATGTATGTGCTCATACAATAACACTGTATGAGGAACAGGCCTAATTTGTCCCAGTAACGTTCTTCAAATTCATACAGGTTTGATTTTTGGGTGAACCACTGCTTTAAGAATGCACTTGATTACAGAAATTCTTCAGCGTTGAGATCGTGAAGTTTTAAAGATACGGAGCTAAAGTATTCAAAAGAGATTTGTTCATAGAAATACCATCCCGTCAAAGCAAAGCCCACCACCCTCATGCCTCGACCCCTGTGGACTGGTAAACACAAGTGTGTGTATATTTAGCGATGAAAGTGATAACAAAGTTTCACGAAAGCCTCCAAGATACACAAACTGCATACCAAAATGAACAGACGTGGAATCGCTCCAACAAACCAATGGACTGACCCATAAAATGGCTGATTCTGTGGTGGTCAGCAGTTCATTCTCAAATCCCTCTGCTTGTATTCGCACATTCAGACCGACATGCAAACAAACACATGGCGAGACATTACACCATTACTTATTTATTTGCATGTACGGAGTGGTTGGAATCCAGGGCTTTGTTATCTGTGCTCGTTTGTGTGTTATAGTTAGTTGTAATGGTGATTTTTAATTATCCTACACTGGTAGATATTTCATGTGCTCACTTTAGGGCTGCACAATAGATCACTTCAGCATGGATATTGCAATGCGATCTTTCACAATAGTCACATCACATGTATATGCAATGTTGAGTCTGGATTATAATTGATCATTAAGCATTTTCCTTTAGGCCTGTGACTGTGTGAGGCTTTTAAAAGCCTTCAGACATTAGAAAATGTACACAGTAAAACCCAACAGCCAACTTTATCAAATGAAATGAGTGTAGTAAACTCAAAATTGACTGAAAGTTAATTCAACTCATTTGAAAAGAGTTTTGAACTCAGGGTTGATGGTAATGAGTTAATTAAATACCTCATTACTTCAACTTAAATGGAGTAAGTTTACAGTACTCATATAGATTAGTTTAACTCAAATGGTTTGTAGCAATTGGTTTCCTTAACCTATTGGGTTTTACAGTACTCAGTTGGTTTGAGTTCTCTTTATTTATTGGGTTTTACTCAAACTGCTTCGTGTTCTCACATGGATTAGGTTCACAGTACTCATTAGGATTTTTTTTTTAACTCAAACGGTTTGAGTTACCTTAACTTTTGTGGTTTCACAGTGTAACATTTCAGGGCTCAACAATAAGGACTGCCCGCTGGTCCAGGGTCAGCGTGCAAGATGCTCGGGACAGTATACAGAATGGTTACTGGCCCAATCGGGGCCAGTGCTGCCTTGTCACTAAAGTTTAATTTGGCTGTGACTGTTTGTCAATTGCATGTTTTCATGCCTAGACGTTTGTTTCGGAACCTGTCTCGTTTGCCCAGTAAGCGCGGTTCGTGGCATATGTGAATCCTGCAACTGTGCTCGAGTCCGCGTCAAAACAATCGGTCTGAGATCGCCAGAATAAGGTGGTCTTGGCTCGATTGAGCGGATCGATTGTAGTGAAACAAAACAATCCAGGCTATAATACAGTGTATTATGGTTGTGTGATAGACATATATTCAGCTATATGAAGAGAGAATGATGAGTAGGGCAGGATGTTATTTCTACCAGAAAATGTGCGTTTCATGTCTAATATGAAAGTGAAATCATGCTGAAATATTACAGAGTGCCGTTTTTGATCGATATTACCATCTGGTAATTTCTCCATATTATAATCTTATATTTTGTATAATGCCAACTGTTTTGTTCATTTCGACACCTTGAAACCAGGAGGCTGAGCAGGAGGCTAAAACACCTGAAATGTTGTTTTGGTCATTCTAAAACGCCTTAACCGTTTCAGTATTAGTGTTATTATATTGTTAATTACCACCAGAATCAAGAGCGTCTGTGCTCCGCGTCTCGCGCTTTCAAATGCCGCCTTCATTGCGTGTCAGCACTGTCTTCTGAGGCCAGAGTCATTTATTAAACAAAGAAAATACTCACACGGCTTCTCCTACTGCAGCAAATTCAGTGTTTACTATTGATATTTGGCGCTAGTTAATCAGGAAGTGACGATTTTTTTCATTTGCACGTCTTTTATGCGATAATACAGTTGTGCGCATAAATTGTATTCACATTTTTGGATGGAA